AGCATCGCAAGGTGGAAATGGTGGGAAAGTTGTCGAAAATGTAATGGGTAGTGCTTCAAGTGGGCGTGAAGTGCCTAGAAGCGCGCATACGAGCGCGAATGGAGCAGCTTCAAACGGGAAGGGACCAAGCGCTGGTACAGATAGTACCACAGGCACCGGCGCAGAAGCTGTGACTCAGAGTATGATTGCGTTCAAGAATATGAGCGTGAGTGGCTTGAACAAAGTACGCGAGAAAGTGGGGCGCACGTCAGATAAGTGGGTGTCCGGGTTTAAGAGTTTCCAGTCAGATTTAAAGGCGAGTAGCGGTTCGGGGCACTGGACGGAGAACATTGGTGCGTGGACTAAGATTACATCGGAGCGAATCAATGCTCTGACGGGCTATGAGGGGATTATGAGGCTCAAAGCGGGTGTGGAGACCAGCGACGCAGCACACATGTCTGCGAGAGTGGCGTATAAAGAAGCTCAGGCTTACCTGGCAGATATTCTCAAGCAACGGTAAGGTGTTGTTCTTGGCGTCTTATTTTGTACGTGTCAAACTGCGGTGATATGGTTTAGTAAGGTATTCTTCCATATTCTCTATGTATTTGTTGATAACCGAGCGCCGGTCACCCGGAGATTTCAAGCACCGTCCTATATCAAGTGGAGAACAATTTTAGTAGGACTCTCACCACCAATACTCTGCCGTCCTTTCTCACAATACCTCGCTTTCCAATCACCTATGGGCAAAACTGTAGGAGAACAGCACAACAGGAAATTAATTCGCTTCTGCAAAAGCAGCAACACTGGGGGAGTGAAGACGTGGTCAAATTCGGCGAACTGCACAGACTTGAGCACCAGTTGAAGCGCAGTGAGGAGGCCGCCGAGAAAGCCTTGGAACGCGCGGAGGGGAATGTGGAGACGACCCTGCGTAAATATACATTAGGTGGGCATACAATAAATATTTGGTCTGTACACAGATTAACGCGGGTCATATTTGTTGTGAGAGAGTGAGTTTGGAAGGGAAACGTGATCTGCGCGGCTGCTTCGTCTCGATATCTTCGCAGCCGCTCACTTCATGGCGTCGCATGCAGCGGTCTTTTGGTATTGATATATATATTAATCGTTTATACTCATTTGACATTTTCTCTGCACAGCCATTCGAGAACGTTACCATGAGGAACAGCTCTGGAGTGACAAGATTCGTAGCATTTCTACGTACGGAACGCTCATCGTTATGGTATGATCAGAATGTGCACATGTAAATACACTGAGTGTTTCCAAATCGAACGCATTGGACTTTCAATCATTCTGTCTGACCTTTTTTATTTATACGATGAAGTCGCCTCTGCATCATATTTCCCCCAATAAATACACGTGGCATATCTTCACTTAGTGACCGAGTCCACATGCCTGTTTGATTACTTTTTTGCTGCCTGTAAGGGGATCAGTATATACCTCTCATAGTTGATGAAATCAGAAATAATACTTTTACAATATTCACGACCGTAATGCCGTATTTTACTGGCTTAATATTCTATCATTGAGGAATTGTTTTATTTTCTCGTGTCTGGGTCGCTACTAATCACAAGTTACTTGCACCCGTGCGCCTTTTTTTCCCATCAGGCTTTCAATTTCTTCCTTGTGTTCCTATCTCTGGTTGCCTTTGAGCCTCGCAAAAGAAGGAGAATCATCGCCGGTGTGAATGAGAGGTTAGAAGACGTTCTGACAGAAGAACGCCACTTCATACACAGGGAAGTGCAGGATGCTGTGAAGGCTCTCGACCGCACGTTCCTACTCGAAGGTACGGCAGCTGTGTTTTGTGATTGTGGCCGCGGTTTCTCTCAGCGTGTACCTTTAAAATAGCACATGGGTGCGCTGCAATGCTTTATCAGTTTAAAAGTTAGTTTCTATATTTGATTACATGCCAATACTCAGCGTGGCGGCCGTAAACAAGGCGTTTGACGTGACGGCTACGGGCCATAAAGACTTAGTGCACTCCGTAGCATACACTTGAGATCTCTTCAAACCCAGAATTCCATGGTATAAATATTATGTTGTATAGCCCTCAGATACGATGGGCCCATAACAGCGAGCGCAATTCCGAACTCAAATTTAACATCAGCACAAACAACACTGTGTTGTTTCTCTTAATCTTATTTCTAGCTCTTACTGCGCAATCGAAATCCAACTCATCGGCGGAGACTACATCGCCACTGCAATCGAAATCTATAGAAAATCAGTCTTCTACGCTTGCATCTGATACTGCGCCTGAAGCAATCACAGAGATAGCGACAGAAGGTGAAGTTTTCAGGGAGGCGGACGTTGTGCACGATGTAGGTGAGCCGTCGGTAACGGTACATACGATCAATCCGGTGAGTACAGAGGCATGTGGTCGCGGTTCTGATTAGTCCTGGGCATGATACGAGCTATTAGTGGTGGATGCGCAGTTCGAAGTTTTGTGCACAAATGGATGTTATTTGCACCTGACGTATCGAATTTTGGCATTGGCAGCAAGATGTGAGGAGCAAAAACCGACACATCAAGCGCAACTCACAGCTGTCTTTTTTTTATTCAACTCACGATTACTTCGATGTCAAATTTGAATCACACAATTTGTTATCTCAGGGTGCTTCTACTAGTCTCGAGATAGATTCGCCAGCGTCGCAAATACTCAACGTACTGAGCAGGTAAGAAGTTTTTTCGTGTATTGTTCTTTGTAGTCATCGTAGTTGCACATTGAAAATATTCGCGGAAATAGTTCTTTGTCCATCGCGATATTTATTTTAGCATACATGCCGACCTTTATCTGAACGATGCAAAATCGCGAGACTCACAACCTGTCATATCGTGGGTGGCTCAACATGAAAGTATATTAATCGAACCCCCATATAACGCGTTCTGAACCCAACTTTCAATTGTCAGGGTGAGCACAACGATCTCGGATATGATTCCGGCGAGCATCGCCAAGCATTCGCCAAATTACGGTCTTGTGCATGACGAAGAAGTTCAAAAACTACTCATAGGGACTGTGCTTGTCTCAGCCACAGTTACATTTATGCTGCAGCGACTGCTGGGATCATAGCGTTGTTTAGCTAAATAAGTCTAAAGCTTTTCACGTAAGTATGTTCGTTGAAATTGACTACGGTCTTGCGCGTGACGAGGGAATTTAGAAATCGCTCGTGAGGACTGAGCTCGTTTCAGACACCAACGCACATATCACCGACACACACTTGCTGTAGCGACTGCTTAGAGCATAGCGGATCTGTATGGTAATGGTTAGATGATTTGAATGGTTCTTAGCTGTAGAAATAAAATCAACCGAAATGAACTTCGCTCTTTTTCGTTTTTTTAAGTACAATCAATCGACTGAAATAATCTTACTTCGCCTGGTCCTCACTCATGGTGATATATTACTCCACAATTGTATGATATACATGTGCGCAACAGATGGGCCAGAAGATTGCTCTTAAGCACAATCATCCTGTCTGCACCACCATTTGTGCTGTGGTGACACTCGGACCACCGCGAACTCCAATATGTTTGAAAATTCTATTTTTTTTGGCCATATTACATTATAGCATGATGTGCGTGGAGATGGTCTTTGTGTCAGCCAACATCAACTTCATGACACAGTGATCTCGTGGACCATGGCTGTCCTGCCAGCATTCGTTTAACTACTACATAGTACATAATAAACCCAATAAACTCTCAACCAACGAAATTATTCACAATCCATTATTTAGATTAAGTGTACCTTTACGGGGGCGGTGACGGTCTCAACTCTCGTTTTATTGTTTAATCGTGACAGACCATTCCGTGTAAATCGGCATGTTTGATACCAGCGCAGGCCTACAATGTACACAAACACGAAGCTATGGTAAAAATAGTGGTGATATTTCTTAAATGATGAAACCGGGCTTGTGCTTTATGTTAACTCTGAAGTCCTCTACATATGCAACCGTCATCCCTCGCTGCACGAACAGGCTTATATCTAACGTCACAACAGCAAGGGTTTGAATACTTAAACTATTCGAAATTTTGAAATTGAGAACGCATAAGTTTAGATGGTATATATAATATATATATATATATATATCTATATAATATATATATATATATATCTATATAATATATATATATATATATATTCATGGCCAAATGAGAACCGTTGACCATGATATATTATATAATGTTAATATAGTTCATTATAACATTTGAATATCGACTATGTACATTAGAAGTACATACTTGTATGTGTAATTCAGAGATTGTGGGACTTCATATTTCGAACCGGTGCGTGTGACAACAGGCGGGATAGCTCAGTTGGTTAGATCGTTGGATTGCGTTGGATTCCCGGGCTGGCAATTCTTTGCGAAGTCGTACGAAAAAAAGTCCAGTTCAGGGATTCACACTGCAGGTTGACTACCCTGAGCTATCCTCGACCATAAAAAAAACTAAGTCCTAGCAAGACCATGACGTCAGACCATCGGACGATTTGAGTGGACACCGCCATTGAGACCAGCAGATGAAGACCAGAAATTACGACAGTCGAGTGGACGAGGGACTGACCCAAAAAGCCGAAGGAGTAATGACCAAAAGGGGAAAAGCCGAAAGAGTAAGACCCAAAACATGAGACCGACCCAAAACTTAATATTCGGGATAACTCGGAGACGGGACTCCTATTTACGATCACTATATTAATATCCCTGGGAGTTTGGGGCTCTCATTAAAGAAATCCTTGGGCAAGCCATAGGCTGAAGTATCAAAAACCTTCCAAAGTGACGGTTCTGCTAAGCCCTAACTGAGCAGTTTTTACCAATTTCTATTGGATATGTGAACACGTTGTATGTCTTCAGTTTCAATCGTCTGGTCATCAGCATGAGTACAACGATAAGCTTAGCGCGATTTGACTCCACCGGACATCGCCAACGCTCTACCACTACAAATGGCTAGAAAGAACAACATCACATTAACCCACCCCCCAGGCCCCCACTTATGTTCGTCGACAGATTTTTCAATCGATAGTTGTACCCAGTGCCATTGTTGCTCTCTCGGTCGTTGACTATGTCATACCAATCAAATTTCACTGGTTGAAGTTCATGATACGTATATGGCAGCTCCTCGTCTCTAGCTGATATACATGAATAGAACCTGTTTCGGAGTTTTCTCTAATTTTCAAGTGCCACAATCAGGTGCGACTATAGTTCTGCATCAATTAAGGATACAAATATAGAATACATACAACTCAACTATAGTTCAAACTCGCACAATATAAAGTCAGACCAATTTGGCCTTTATTTGCTTATTAAAATGATACATGCTATATTGTCCCTGGCTTAAAACGAGCGAGTGGTTCATTTTAGACACTGCAGATATATTCTATCTTATTTATTGGCAGTGAACCAAAGTGTGCAGTATTTCCGGCCTCGACGCAATTCTACGGGACGTCAGCTTATGTATAAAGACGGTACACACTTCTGTATTGTTTCATGTATCCTGTAGAATGGGATGATATACATTTTGGAAAGACGTACGTTCTAAGCGACTAATATCCACATCCTAGTCTGATGTTTTTCTACTGTCTATATGACTCGTTAATTTTGTACGCACCATATAGTTGTCAGATTGAAGCCAATGGCCAAAACCCTTAAGCACTCAAAAATTGGACTATTCACCGAATACGAGCGCAAGGAAAGGCTCAAGACTCAAAGATGGCCATAGTATCGTAACTTACCAATGAGATCCAAATTCAGCTCCTTCAAAAGACCGTCTCCAATGTCATATACCAGCCCATGGATGAGAGGATATCCGGACTCAGTGCGAGAATTCTGTACCACACCAGTCTTGAATAGATTTATACTGTTCGTGGTGATGTGAAAGGAGCAAAAGCCGGTGAACATCAGAGATATGATCGTTTACATTTTATGAGTGCAATGTCTCCATACCTGAGTCGGCGCCCATGTCAATAGGTAGACATGATACTACCAGCAAACTCAACAAACGACAGGGCAGGTTGTGATCTCAAATAATTTACTAATGAATATCAACAATAGCTATGTAGGGTAGGTTCGTTTTGCAGATTCATTGCTAAGGGGCGTTTGTGGCACGACAGTAAATTCTCGAGTCATCGCGCTACTTTCATTACACTTAAGCTGCGATCTATGGGTTTGATTCCCCGATTTCGGGAAAATTTCTGTGATAGCGTGTTGTCGCAGTGCTACTGAGTCCTGGGGACATGGGGACTCGTGCCTAATAAGTCACAGTTTTGTTATATTCCCGTAGTAGGAGTGGTTAACCAACTTGCTACTACGGAGATATCACAAATGCATTGATACTAATACATAAAAAGTGATTATGTACCGAATCCTATCTCGAAAACGTTCACAAGCACTTACCATTGCTCAACCACATTCAACTCCACCAGCCGTCGGTAGCGAACTTCCTCGTCTACAATAGAGTTAAGCTCAGTCATATGCTGCAGTGGGGAAAAACAAATGAGTATACTTATACATATTTTCGTAGTTATGTATATACATTGCAAATAAACGTGACTACATAGGTTGCGAGTTCCGTCGATTATAGTGGAGTCGAGCTCAATCAAGTATGTAACTTGGATAGATATGAACCAGTCGCAGTCCTCAAAGAACGAGAACGAATCTATGAGAACGGGTGATACAATTGTAGAATGACATTAGGAATCACGCAGACTCCGATGGTGTACTCGATGCAGGGCGATCTGATCAGATACACTAATTATTTGTCACTTGCAGCCATTTAACGCTGTCGCCAATGCCACAACACACTGATATGTGCCCAATGTCACGTTTGTATGTAGCTGACGGTCTATCACAAAGGAATGTTTTGAACATCACCCTGATATGTAACTGATATGTATGCGCACTGAAGAAGGGCCAGGTCCTACAACCCCGAGGATCCCAGATTGGGGAACAAAAAATACGTCGCACTGTATTGTTGATTTATAACACTAGTTCCCCCACCGTTGAATCTTTTACGCCCAAGAAGATTTCGCACAATGATCACTGTCCTGCGAAAATGGCCACCAACCAAAAAACAAAAATGAAATGCACTTAGTACAGAACTCGCAGACAGCTCACTACACATGCATTGCGCAATACTAAAGCGTGTACAATACGATGCACACACCAATCGCTTCACATCTCGGATATTTCTCAACCAATGCTCGATGATGCCCAGATCGTGGTTAGCTTCGGTTGCCGTCTTCACACCACCACAGCCGTAGTGTCCACACACAATGATATGTTTCACCTGTCATCAACACAGAAGAAAGATTATGAGCACAGGACAGATAAGGAGTGCTGGCCAAATAGCAGAGGGAGTTAGAGTACTAGTGCTGACTGGTTACTTGCGACTTACACCAAATACGAATTACTTAGTGAAGTTGTACAGTTTACACCCACAACACTCCCTATAAATAGGAAGTGAGACTGCTGAGTGATTGGCGTAGTTGCAAGTGACAAAGAGTTCTGACGGAATAGTATAGTTGTGCAGTCACCATACACACGAACATGCTTCACATGCATAGAAGGAGAAATAACGAAAATATACGTGAAAGGGCTCTCCGAATGAATCATATGAAACAAGGCTTCGAACGGAAAATGCGCGTAAAATATAAACAAAAAAATTCACCGACCAAGTTTTAATAACGGATAACACACTATACTATGCCTATAGAGTCCAGAGACAGCGGCTATCACAATCAGAAACAAGCTCATATTAGGCCTCTTTAGCACGCACGCAAGCAAATAGAATGTCATTATTTATATATCCGTTCCTTTCCTAAGGATACAAACATTCAAACAAGTACTAAAATATATACCAACAATAATCACGCCCAGCGATAACAAGGTGAATGTAACAACGGACAACGAATTATAAGTGCATGATAAAGACCATGCAAGAAAAAGTGCACGAAGTAGCATTGGGGTCCAGAACCTTACCTTCAACACCTCTACCGCATACGTCAGCACAGACAGCATGTTGATATCGGTATTCACTACCATGTTGGCGATATTTCGATGCACGAAAATTTCTCCATCATTGAGACCCTATAGTGGAAGCAACACGACCATATAGGTTAAATGCCATACGCCTACTTAACGATTTCAAGGGAGTTCATTAAGTTTTTGCCTCATTGTGTTCAATCAAGAAAGTACTCTAAAAATGGACGACAGCACAACCCAACTTTTCAATCAGCGCAGCCCTTGATCACGCTGTCGAGGATACGAACAATCACGATGTGCATACGAGTACCGAAATAGCATTCCCGTTGACATGTCACAGGCCTTCACAGTATGTCCTTGGTAACAAACCTACTACGAGATAGTGTTTATTTTAATACTAGCCGGCAGTTGCTATGAAGGTGAGTATGTCCATGGTCCGTTGAGTACGGAGACGGACGCGAGAACCAACGACCATATCAACCATGCACACTCACGGAAAACACGCAGTACATGGCATACATCAATATCGGCAGGCGAAAGAGGCCTCAACTATAGTAACTAGAAGAGCGTGTCGCATTCCCACGATTAGCGGTGTAATGTCATATTAAACAACTAGATTCAGTCGAAACACACAATGCAATACGGTCGATGACTGAAACTGTCACATTGTACTGATGTAGGGGGTTTACGACAAATTCAATAATCAATTGAAGATCCAATACCAATAATACACGCTGACAGATAGGATAGATCATGACTTCTTCAACAGTTACTGGTGTACGATATCAACAACCGGCAAAGTAGACCAGTTGATGCAGTACATGGCGTCAAAGTGTCGGAACATGTCATATCACACGCACGCACACACGAATACACACACGCATACATGAATACACACGCACGCATAAAACCCTAAAACAGATATACACTCACACACGCATACATACACTCACACACGAATAAACACACACTCACGCGAATACTCATACTCACACGAATACACACACACTCACACACACATACAATAATTGGGTTAGTACAGAAATGTCGTACAGAATAGTCAGATAAAACATTTGTCATATCTAAATGTCTAAAACATTCCATGACTATAAGCTGAGTTGATTTGTTTTCTTCTCATACCGTCAAGTTCTCCGCAGGTACACGAGCATCGGAGCATCCGATCCACAGATATTTTGGAGTCTGTCCCAATTTTTGGTTTTTGAAATAGTCTGGTTCTGTCTCTAAGCGCTTTTCGACCCACCTGATTTACAAGTGGTACCAATAGATAGCATTCGGGATGCATTAATCAGATCTGGTGGTGCATGGCATGATAGAATATATGATACACATGTCCCGACCTGATTTCAGATATAGTTCGGTCGAGCATGTAAGCATTGTTTCCTCCCTCCTGGCTATCGCCGGCACCAGGTATAAACCCCAGCCTAAAATAATTCTTCATTTGACACTAGAATGCATGGACACTACATCAGTACAAAAGTGACCTTAACATTATTTGGATACAATTTTCCAGACAATTACACATAAACTATGTATAACAATCAATATGCACCATAAATACGTAGACATACATACATACATACATATATTTACATATATATATACATATAGATTTAAATATATATATATATATATGTATGGATGTATATATATACAGATACATATATATATATGATGTTTATAAATATTTGTGTGTATTCAAGTATGTCCATAAAACAGAAAACATATATATATATAAGTACAAATATATATATATATATATATATAAGTACAATATATATATATATATATATAAGTAGTGTGTGTGCGTGTATACATATACACACACATATATATATGTATATAATATAGATATATATATCTATATAATATAGATATATGTACATGATATATATATATAGGTATATATATGTAGATATATATTTATATATATATATAGATATAGATATATAAATTTGTATATATATATGTATATATACATGTATATATATATGTATATCTGTATATATATATATATATATGTATGTATATGTATAAATGTATATGTATATGCGTGTATGTCAATGTGTAAGTTACAACCAGATATACTATGTTATGCACACGGCCTCATTTTTCAAAGTACGAAACAGCTGAGTCTGCCGACGAAAGAGAGTACTAATCACACTTCCGGCACAGGTGTACTATATCTATATCCATAGCAGCTGTACTTTATCAAGAAGATACAGCAAAGGCGAAAGTGAATTATAACTCTACTTACGCTCTATTGTTGCCCATAATCTTCTCATAATCTGCTCGATCGGAATCGAAGTTGCGCATGCTGTTAAGTGAAGGCTGTGAAGAGAAACCAACACAAAAGTAAGCAAGACATAGTATGCGCCAGGACTAGCATAAGCACAAACAGGTGCAATGTGTTCGGAGTGTACCATATACTGCTGAATCATAATCGCTCGATTAGGTTGCATTTTGTATTAGTAAATGAAATTTCACGCGTGTCCCATATCGCTGAATGGCAGGAATATGAACTGGCTGATTGTGCATTGATCAGACGGCCAGACTCCACACCCAAACATCGGCGCGCAGAAAATGGAGCTGTATCAGATGCTCCGTTATATATATATATATATATATTTATATGTATATATATACATATACGTAAATATATTTATATGCATATAAATATATATATATATATTTATGTGTGTGCATAAATATGTATAAATATGTACATGTATAAATATATATATATACATATACATTATATATAAATATATAAATATACATACATATTCTTATATAAATATTTGCATATAAAATACATATGTACATGTGAACATATATACATATATCATACATACGTACACATATATATCATACATACATACAAAACACACACATATCCATTCATACGTACATACGTAAATACATACGTAATATATATATATATATATACATATATAAATATATATATTTATTCATACTTATACACATATACATACATAAATACTTACGTACATAAATACATACATACGTACATACATTAATACGTACATACATGCATACGTACACACATAAAAATATACATACATACATACATACAAACGAACATACATACATACATATAAACGAACATACGCACATACATACATACATACGTACATATATATACTAAAATACTGTTAGTGCGTCTCGATAATGGCGATATTGCCATAAAAGCGATAGAGAGAACGGGATACCTTTGTGGGCTGAGTATAGTAAGGATTCCCGCTCCCACTACAACACCTATATTTTATGTGTATACATGTATCTGTAAAGAATGATATATGTACACTCATAACTATTCATACCACATGGTCCCAAGGCCGAGCCTTCTCCGAATTCGGTGTGGTGGTGAAGTTATTAATTCTCTTGTCTTCATCAGATGGTGTTGACGACGAACCAAAGTGCGAGTGCGAGGCCTTGATCGACGGTGGTGCAGCCGGATGACCATGTGTGTGCGAGCATCCAGCTGTGGCCAGAGGACGCAGCTTATTGCCCAGGTTGGCATTTGCTGCGAAAATTAGTAGTGTGGTAGTCGTTAGTCGAAGCAGTCATCAGATACCGCAGATACTTGTACATGCGTGGGGTTGGCAGAGATGGATTGTTGTTCAGCTTGGAATCTCCTGCTGAAGTTGATAATAAGCGACTTTGATTTGTGCACTGGCTGTGCATAGTATATGCACAGCCGGATATGAAGCTTATTAGTATCCATGTATTTAAATGTACCAGAATGAAGTATTTGACAATTAGCTTTGCGGCTGTCTTTGCCTATGTACATCTCCCAATATGGCAAAAACGCAGCTTATAGTTCTATATACACTTATAAGTACATTCTTGATCCATCTCCGGTTGTGTGTTAAACAGTGCACCACAATATATATATATGTGGGTGTGTATCTATGTATATATATATATATATGTGTGTGTATGTGTGTGTATGTATATTTGTATATGTACATATATATAAATGAATACATATATATAAATGAATACATATATATAAATGAATATATATATATATATATGTGTGTGTGTACATATATATGTATATATGTATATGCATAAATATGTACGTACATACATACATATATATATATATATATATATACATGTGTGTGTGTATGTATAAATATATATATATATAAACATACATATATATTTATATACGTATAAATATATATATGTACACATACGTATATACTTACGGACACACACACCCACATATATATATATAAGTATGCATGTATGTATTTGTGTGTGTGCGGATGTATATACATATAAATATATATATATATATATATATATATTTAAATATATATATATAAAAATATATATTAATATACATATAAATATAAACATATAAAAATATATGTTTATATACATATATATATATAGATGTATACAAATGTATATATTTATATAAATAGATAGATATAATATAAATAGAGATATATATATGTATGTATGTATATATGTATGTATGTA